TTCTCTTTGCTGGTCTCTCGGCTTCTGCTGATCTCTCTCTCTCGAGAGCTCTCTCGGGGCGTTTCTCCCTAACTGCCCGTCTGTCTCCCTGGCCCACCCCTCTGCCCCCACCCTGCTTCCCCTCCAGCAGAAGGCAGACCTGGCTGTGGCCGCATTCACCATCACAGCCGAGCGGGAGAAGGTCATCGACTTCTCCAAACCCTTCATGACCCTGGGGATCAGCATCCTCTACCGAGTGCACATGGTAGGGCTCCCCTGGAGGCGCGGAGGCTGTGGGGCAGGAGCCTGGTGGTGGGCACGACACCTGTGTCCCCAAGGGCAGCAGAGGCTGCGGGCTGGACCTTGATGGGCCACTCGGGCTCATGGGCGCCTGGCGAGGCGGGGGCTGGGGATGCAGCTGAGGTCAGGGTGGCTCCGGGCCTCACTCCCTCCCCCCACAGGGCCGCAAGCCTGGCTACTTCTCCTTCCTGGACCCCTTCTCCCCTGCCGTGTGGCTCTTCATGCTTCTCGCCTACCTGGCCGTCAGCTGCGTCCTGTTCCTGGCCGCCAGGTGAGTCCACTGCCTGCTGCCCGTGAAAAGGAGGCGGGGAAGAGGCGTGGGCTGGGGCCTCCGTGACTGACCTGCACATTCTGTCTGGGCCTCTCCCCTTCCCCCCACTTCCATTTTCTCTCTCTCTTTCTCCCTCTGTGTCTCTCTATACATCTCTTTCTGCCTTTTCTGTGTGTGTCTCTCTGTTTCTTTCTTCCTCTTCCCTCTGTGTATATCTCTTTCTGTTTCTCTCTGTCTCTCTTTTCCCTCCTTTTTCTCACTGCCTCCCCCCGCCCCCCATCTCTTCACATCATGGTGTCTTTGTCGCTTTCCTCTGTTTCTCTCCTTTTTTTCTCTACCTTGGCTCCATCCACCCCTTGCCCCCATGTCTCTTCACAGGCTGAGCCCCTACGAGTGGTATAACCCACACCCGTGCCTGCGGGCACGCCCCCACATCCTGGAGAACCAGTACACGTTGGGCAACAGCCTCTGGTTCCCTGTAGGGGGCTTCATGCAACAAGGCTCGGAGATCATGCCCCGGGCGCTGTCCACACGCTGCGTCAGCGGAGTCTGGTAAGAGGCCTTCTGTCTGTCCCAACCTGGGTGGGGAGGGCCCCTTCCAAGCCTGGGAAGATTCTGGTCCCCCTCCGGCAACTGTGTGGCAGGGAATGGGGTGGAGAGAGCTGAGCCCCAGCTCTGCCCGCTACTAGCCGTATGACCTTGCGTAGGCCACATCTTCTCTCCATGCCTCAGTCTCCTCATCTGAAAACTGGGGATAAAATCCCCATGCCGCAGGATTCAGTTGGGCTGTTGCAGAAAAGTACTTCTTCTGACGTGAGAATTATAATTGGAACAGCATACGCATGGCTATTGCTGACTCGTACACGCGCAGGCAGTCACAGAGACTTGGGGCAGCCTGCACGGTCCAGGGACACATACTCCTTGGGGAGTCCCTTGGGGACCCCAGTAACCTGGACAGAGCCTATTTAGCCCCCATCACAAGCTCCAAGAAGTCACACGTCAGAGACCAGACACTGTCAACCTGTGTCTGGACCATGGTTTTTTAAATGTCTGTTTGTTTTTGAAAGAGAGAGAGAGCCGGGGAGGGGCAGAAAAAGAGAGGGAGACACAGAATCCGAAGCAGGCTCCAGGCTCCGAGCTGTCAGCACAGAGCCTGACACGGGGCTTGAACTCACAAGCTCATGACCTGAGCTGAAGTTAGACATTTAACTGACTGAGCCACCCAGGTTTTTTAAACATTTGAATTAGTTAGCAACATTTAAAAATTGGGCAAATCCACTCACAAATCCAGACTTCTCACTCTTCTTGAAAATTCAGGAGCACCGGATAGGCCAGCATCTTCCTGGTCTTACGCATGAGAGGGCTGAGACCGCGTACTCCTCCCGAGACAGGGCCAGGCCGAGCGGGCTCTCTCCCCGGGGCCACTCACCCCGGTGCCACCTGAGCCCAGCCTCCTCCCCAGGCCCTTCTGGAAGAGCGTTTCTTCCTCCCCTCCTCCCTGTCAGTTAGAATTCACGCATCGACAGTCATTCACCAGATGCTTCTCAGGCCCCTCCTTGTGCCAGGCACTCAGGTGAAGAATCCAGCCTCGAGAGGCAGAGGAACCCAGAATAAATAGCTAAGCAAATAAACAGACACAGGAACGTCCCATTTTGTTCCAGGAACAAGTGAATCCCAAAGACATTGTCTCATTCAAAACTTGTTCCCGACTAACCTTTAATGGGTGCAGGTTTTTCTGTCCCAACTGAGTGGGACGAACTACCACAGAGCAAGTTGTCGGCAGTTCGCTTGGCCCACTGTCTTTGACCCTTTTGGGTCTCGATGACATTTTTTGGGAATGGCATCATTTCAAGTGTTACATACCCTGTATTAGTTTCCGATCGCTGCTGCAACAGGTTACACAGGCTTAGTGGCTTCAAACAACATAAACCCATAAACATCATATGGGTCTGGAGGTGAGAAATCGGAAATCTCACTGGGCTAAAGTCCAGGTTTTGGCAGGGCTGGGTCCTTCTGGAGGCCCAGGGCAGAATCCATTTCTTTGCCTGTTTCAGCTTTTAGAAGCCACCTGTACTCCTTGGCTTGTGGCCTCTTTCTCTGTCTTTAAAGCCAGTAGCATTGCATCCTCGTATCTCTCTCTGTGGCTCTAACCTCCTTCTTCCACTTATAAGAACTCTTGTGATACCACTGGGCCTACCCAGATAATCCAGGAGAATCTCCCCCAACTCACATTCCTTAACTTGATCATTTCTGCAAAGATCTGTTTACCCTATAAGGGGACAATACCTCATGAGTTCCAGGGCTTAGGATGTAGACATCTCTGGGGGCGGGGTGAGAGGAGGAGCTTTCTTCTGCCTCCCACATACCCCACCTGCAACCTACCGACATTGTCAATGTCACATACATATCAACATGCATGCAAACTACTAAATGAAACAAACAGGGCACAGTGAGAGAGAACAGCAGGGAACGTGGTCACTCCGGGAAGCCCCTTTGAGGAGGGGACACCTAGGCTAAGTCCTAAAGGCTAAAACAGAGGTGTCCACGCCCAGGAGAGGGAGGAACATTCCAGACAGGCCAGAGACCTGATGTGACAGAGACGGCCACATCCTCAGGCCAGGTGGTGGACCGGTGACCTCCTCTCTGCAGGCCCTCCCTTCTGCTCCTGGGGCAGGGACCTCTTCAGCTGGGCGTTCTCTGCCTGTACCCATCACCGTCACCCTGGAAGCTCCCAGTCACGCCCCCTCTCACTGGAGACTTTGACCCCAAGCTCACTCTCGTCTTCACTCTCAGCCCTCCCACACATTCGCTCGGTGAGTGGATGTTTTAACAGATGTTTGTTAGTTTTCAAATGTGACCCCGGCACGGTGACTCGGCAGTCCGGGGCCAGTATCCTAGGGGACTTGGTTGCCGGAGGGCCCTGAACCCACCTCCTGAGCCCCTCATCTTCAGTGTGCATTGGGGTCCCAGCCTCCTACGGCCACACCCAAGGCCTTGTCATCATTCAGGACAGCTCTGCCTCAAAACCAATGTGTGTGTGTGTTTTCTTTTATTAATTAATTAATTAATTAATTAATTATTTTGAGAGAGAGCATGAGTGGGGGAAGGGCAGAGAGAGGGGGGGACAGAGGATACAGAGTGGGCTCCACAATGACCGCACAGAGCCCGATGTGGGGCTCGAACTACAAGGTCATGACCTGAGCCAAAGTCAGACACTCAAATGACTGAGCCACCCAGGCACCCTTCAAAATCCATGTTTTTGAGGTTATGCCTGACCTCAGCCCCATCCTCTCGGGCTCCCCCTTGGTCACTCTCGCAAAGTAGTCGTTGGGGCTCCCTCTTTCCTGTTCCCTGAACCCTGCGTACTTTCAGGTCCATCCACCTCAGGTAGGCTCTAGGCCATGTCTTCAGCCACTCATTTGCTGTTTTCCTCAACTCCTCCTCAAGGCGTCCTGTCCTCAGAGTCCTCCTGGCAACCTTAGATCTAGCCAGCAGCTTGGCTCTCCCTCCCCTGGCCCCACCAGGGTCACATAGGACCCCCTTACTGACGCATCCAGTACATGCATATAGGCCACCCTCCTTCTAGAAACTCCTTGCTTCCAGGCTGTAGTGGCCCTCTGGTTCCCTCCTCCCGCTTTGGATCCTCTGTTTCATTTCGCAGGGGCCGGGGGGGCGGGGGGGTGGTGGTGACCACCCTCGCCGTCTCTCACAAGGAGCTCCTCATTCCACACCAGTGACGTGACAGTACCTGCAGACCCAGCGCCCTCATTTTATGACAAACATTTTGTAACATCTGCTTTCCTACCCTGATGAAATTCAAGGGTAATATATCTCCTTACACACCTACGTACACATGTGATTTGAAACAAATCGGTAATACGCCCTAATCGCAATACAAAGGGGGGAAAGGGGAGTGATCTATGATAGAGTAATAGGATAGTGATGCATAAATGCTTGGGTGGGGCTGTGCTAGAAGACAGAACGCGGGAGTCAGGTGGCTGCATTCGCTTGTAATGGGTACATTGGAAATTACGAGAAGGGAGACCATTTAATAGAATCATGTGGACACCTGAGACTTGACGATTTGAGCTATTCGGTAAATGAGTGTGTTTGCACAAACACAAATCACCATGCACGTGGCGATTTACTAACACAACTGTTCCAAGAGTCTTGATACGGTGACTCAGATACCGTGAGCAGGGCTGCTGTGTCAGAGGCCTGAGCTCCAAACCGGTGAGGGGTTCTTGGCAAACTTTCAAACACAAGAACATCTGGTTGTTCCTCAATCTGAACAATGCATGCGTTTCTAGAAATTTCGGTTTCTGTTATAACCATGCAGACATTTTTTTGGCTTTTGTCTACCAAGGAGTGAGGGTCAGAGAGTCGGGTACTGGATTTTCCCTGTTGTTTAGACTGGACTGCATTGCTGGACATCTGCCCCCACCCAACAACACCAGGAGCCACTAGGGTGCCCAACACCTAACCACGCGTCTTCCTCAGACGCCTCCCAGGGGGCTCTCCCTGCCGGGGGGCCACCACTCTGTACGCTCCGAGGGCTTCTCATCCAGCCCTGGTTCCCCTTGCATTTTGTAACTGATGCTTACCAAGTCCTCACCTCCAGACCCTCCCCATGTGTGCTCTACAGGCATCCCCAAAATAGCTTGTCCAAAATGGAGTGCACATCCTTGCTTCCAATTCAGGCTCCCCATCTGTGTCCCCCTGCTCTGTCCCAGTGAGCGCCCCCCCCACCCCTGCCCAGTCATTATCACCAGTCAGCCATGCTGTATCCTTGGGGTCAAGGTGGTACCTGCTGTGTATTAGGCACTGAACAGTTTTGTCTTGAGTGAATGACATTGGCCCTTGCAGTGGGTTTGAAGGGACTTGGTTTCTGGAGAGTTGTGTCAGACCCTGGGTCTTTGCATGTCGGGTTTTGATTTTCTTTTGCGGGAGGCTGTATTATTCATCCCTCTGTCCTCTATTCCACCCCCACCCCAGGGCCTAGCACAGCGCTGTACATGTGTGCTCAGCAGAGGTTAGCTGCTGTGTTTGTTACTATCTGCTGGAGGGGGTGAGTGGGTCTGGGAGGCTCTCCCAGCCTCTCCCTGTCTTCATGCCCCACAGATCTGGACTATCTGCAGGGAACCCGGCCACGCTCACCTGCCAGGCAGGAGGCCAGAAAGGGTCAGGGTAAGACAAGTGGTTGCTCTTGGGCTCCATAGCAAGGCCAGTGGGTGCCTCTTCTCCCAAGTCCCCAAGATAGTGAGCGCACACACGCACGGTGCTCCTTCTGTGTCAGATGTGGCTCACTCTTCCCACAGCCCTGTGAGGGGCAGCCTGTGACTGTCTTAGCTCACAGGTGAGTCCAAGGTCACACAGCTAGGCAGTGATAGAACCAGGATTTGTGGATTTTCCAGAGATCTTTCTGTTATTGATTTCTTGTTCAGTTCCGTTGTGGTCAGAATATTCTCTGTAGGATTTTCATCCTTTGAAATTTATTGAGACTTGTTTCATGGCTCAGCATATGGTCTATCCTGGTAAGTGTTCTGTGTGCA